CAGTTTAGATGTCTCATTTAAAACTTAATGTTTTCTGCAGCCTATTTTTTATTTTTTTTGTCGCAGCGAATAATTCGTTTCAAGGCACAACCCATGCAGAAGTGGTTTGAACTGCTCCATTCGTGCAGTAGCATGGACCCTTTGAGCTCAGTCACAGCTGCCTGACAATGAGACAGAAAGAGAAACCATAAGACGGGAGCGCTAGATTGCGAAGTGAGCTGGTTAGGCTGCAATTTTCTCTTTTATTTCTAGCGCCCTCTTGTTGCTCTCGCTAGCTCATACTCTTCTCTCAGCGCTTATCTCTCTTTGCCTGAGTACAGCCGATGAAGGTGACTGAGCCCTAACTCTAGCGTTTTCGATGGATTCTTTTTATACTTTACTTGTAGCTTAATTTAGACCAACACATAGGTATTCGTGTGATGGAACCACACCAGTTTGGTCCTGGGGCATGCCTTCAAAACAGCAATGCGAGGGCGAAAAGATTGTAATAGCGGCGAATGAAATTGTAAATGCCAAACTAGAACAAACCTTCGATGGAGCTATTCATAAGGTCTACAACGGTCTACGGGTGGAGCAAACCTTTCAATACGTATGCGGTGCTCCCCGCCTAATCGCCTACTCGCCTGATCGCCTATTCTCCTACTCGTCGAATAGCACGTGCGATTGCCAACTCTGAACTTCATCTTCTTCAGCATCATTTCCGTATTTCAATGATTATGTCGTTATTGTATTGTTACTGTTGTTGCCATGTTGTTTTTATCCTCAGGAAAAGGTTCGGAGGCAATGACAGCATATAAAGGGAGGTAATGCTTGGCTCGCTCAGACGCTTTCTGCTCTAAATATGGAATTGTGGAACACGCATTTCGTGTTCCACAAATCGCACTTGTCTTTAGAAGAGCATTAATTCAACTACGCTGATATAGATGCCTATTTGTAGGAGTCCATTCAGCTCAATAAAATTGGTAGACGCCGGCTTAGAAAATTTTGGTATGATAACATCACCATTGTACTAACAACGGTGTCGCGTTCGTTAAGGCAAACCTCCAGAATTGGTGAGGTCACAGCGGTGGTGGACACCGAATAAACTAAAAATGAGAAAAGAAGCAAGGAAAATCGTTGATGAAACCCAAAAAAATCCCTTTGGAATGAAGAAGGGGCGAGGACATTCGAGCTGTCAAAACTGCCTGCTCCATGGTTCAAGTAATTTGCGTATTTGAGTTACCTGCTACGCCGTAGTCATGCTGCATATCATGGATGTGCGTAAGGTATCTGGTCCATAAGCTCACATTGGCCGCCACATACTTTTGCTTCAAATTAGATACTTATTTGGCTTTACTTTTTGATCTGTAAAGCTTCATGAAAACTTTCGAATTACTGAAAACCTGGTCCTTTCGTGCGCACGAGCTCTTTCCCGCACGCAGGAGCTTGCTCATTTCACTTCCCCTTCTATGCGTGTCTTACGCTCAAATCAGAGACAGGCGACAGTTGAGTGCTCCCCAAGAGGCGTCCTCTAAGGAACGTTGCACCTGCTTCTAGAAGAAATATTTCTCTCGGAAATTCTTCGTTATAACAATTATGAAAAGGTCTTGGGCCTTTGGTTTCGGTATTTGGTGATCACATAACAAATTATTACCGAATACGGCCGCGCTCGCAAAGAATGACGACAGAGCGAATGAAGTAAGAACAGCACTCGCGGCAACCCAAGTGCGAGATTTGGCCTCATAGTCACTGATATAGTGAGAAGCAAAAAGGCGTTCCAGAAGCATACACGGAGGTGCAAATGAAGGAACACATTTGCAGAATATGTTCACGAAGCATACTGCAAAAAATACTGACGTGAATTGAGCGTCTTCTGAAAAAGGCACACACATCTCACATGATTAGGAACAATACATGGCAACATTTATTTTTTCCAGATTATATGAACCACGAGAATCACATTGGGATGGGACGGTGACTCCATTCACATGAGCGAAGCTTACTTATGAATGGGAATAGCAATCTCAAGGTTGTCCTATATTCGCTAATTAATAGGTGTTAGGTTCTATACCTTAGCGGTTTTCATTATCTACATCGTGCGTTCAATAAAGCTGATTCGAATTTGTGTTGCAACTTACACATAGTCCTCTTGCACAATGCGACAAAGTCTATTACAATGAACAGGCAAAAGCAATATCGCATAGAGATACCTACCTGGAAGGCTAACGAATCCCAACGTGTAAAGCAAAAGAGCCATGCGGGAAGGCAGCAGCAGGTAGAACGCACAGTAGTGAAACTGAAAATAATTTCCGTGGAAGTTTGCTTAATTAATCCCTCACAGATAGTGTAGTTGTTTTATAGAAGTTTCCAACACTCAACGACCGCAGGGTTTTTCTTTTGTGCTCCACATGCGGTAAGAAAAATCCTGTCGTCCATTTAGTGTTAAAAACGCCACCATGAGGCGTTCCCGCTGACGACGAGTTCATAAGTCGTCTTTCCGCTGCAAATCCTAGGGTGCAAGTGATAAATGGAAGCTGCAGGTGATATCTTCGAACAATACGAAACAACAACGTTGAGACAAGGATGTGGCTATTTTTAGGAGAAGGACCTTGGAATCATGGGTAAGCCATCCATCATATATTTAGACAAAGTTGGAAGATGAAATTAAAGTGTGCATGAAATTAGTGGTGGCTCTGTTCAAGATTCAGTAAACCTGGTCAAATATTTTATTCCTCATTGCTTAGATTACACACGTGTATATTAGGTGATCGGATATATGACAAAAACGAAAGAAGTAATCATGCGCCGCCATGTGACGTAAGTCGTATGTTGCGTGTTAGTAGTAGATACGACTTCTATCTCCGACTTCATAGAGAGAAAAGGATGCGGGTTGTTTATTTATTTATGCGCAGTGAACGCGCTGACGATACGCTGAGCGCTCCATGACAATACTACAATACCGCCCCTAATTTCTGCTAAATCGTTGGAATTCAGCGCACTAGTCCGCCGCAATCCGTCGGTAAGCTGGAGAAGTTGACCGAGTGAGATAATAAGTGGGTTATTCGGGAAGAGCAGCTCTCCATCGCGAGTATCATGAAGAGCCAAGCAAAATTCTGCCTGCACTCTCCGTATACGGTGTTCGTCTTCAATTTCAGAAATTCCTGCAAGTAACAAGATTTTGCATTTTTTCCACACAGCTCTACCTCTGTGAAAGCGTTTCCATGCCGTCCAATATAAACGCTTATCTTCCGCCATAGTTGGTTATAAAGTGCTCCACCATTTGTGTGCATTGCATAAGTCGAGGATTTCCTCATTTGTATTACATGCACACCGTAGCTGAATAGCGTTAGAGACATGAGAAATTCCGAAGAAACTTTAGGATGGCATAAGCAATTGACGCGGCCCATTTTCTTCAAAAGAACAGAGCAATTCAAATCCACGCGTTAACCAAAATCAAACAACACCATTCTTAGTTTTCCGACACGCCGAAAACGATGGTTGCTATGCCGATTTACGAAATTTCCAAATAAGTCAGAAAACTGAAAAATAGGGGGTGGCACAAGCAATTGACGAGAAAAATCGTTACTTTTTTGAATGGAACGCTGTGTCTATTTTTATATTCATTTCAAAATTTGGAAAAAAATTAGTTTCAAAAGACTGGCCCACTGTTCTTCGTGCAACTAACATGTGAGTGATCGGGCTACAGAACTGAGGTCAGGCCGTCAAAAATGGCAAACTGAAGTCTTGGAAAAAACGTATGAAGTCGCGATGAATTTACAACCATGTCGTACGAATAACCGAGATTTAGGATCGATTTTGCCCAATTCTATCGCTCTACTACCGTTGTGCTGTATGTATTGCAGCAAATGGCATAAGCCGTTTGGACACACTAAGCACTCGAAGTCAGCGTGAACTGTGGTGCCCCTGTCGTAGTCACGTACAATGGCATTGACAATTTTACAAGTTATGCAAAGAATGAGACTACTCCACCTCTTCAGAGTAATGGTTCAAAGATGGAGTTGCGTTGCAGCGTTCAACGCTGCGCGCTGGGCAAGAGGAGGGAGACCCAATCTGGTGCACAATCCCAGGCCAGTCCGATATGCGAGCCATTCTCCACCTTCTACTCTTGGTACAGTAGGTGAGTTTACTCGACGCATTTTCTACTCTTTAATAGAGGGCAGAGAAAACGAGGAGTGGGCAAGACGAGCATTCATGAAGATAGATAACACGTGACATTGCACGCCCCAGTGCCAACGCTTAAAGGAATCTTCCACGGAAAAAGCTCCGCCCTCATTACCACAGAAAACGATACCTTAAAGGAATCTTCCACGGAAAGAGTGATCATTTTGTCTTGTGTGTAGGATTAGTATTATCGAAACTAACGCTTATGTTCCGTTCTTTTTGCTATGCTCATGAGGCTAGGGGCCTAAGGTATCGTTTTTCTGTGGTAATGGAGGCGGAGCTTTTTCGTGGAAGATTCCTTTGAGCGCGCCAATGCGTTACGCGTTGTTTGTAATTACGAACATCACAATCACGGCTGACTTCGTGTGCTCATGTTGTCCAAACGCTTTGAGTCGTAGCAATTCCCAAGCAGTTCTTTCGGCTAATGTCAAGTCCTTCATGCGAGCGTATGCACGGAAGTGCGAGAAAAACATTGTCACGAAAATTGAAAATGTTGACCTATACAAAGTAGACTCGGATTAGGACTTCCACGGCGCACTGGATATTAGTATAGCGGGGTGCATCTCACCATGCAGTGACAACTAGTAATATTATCCTTATAAGAATGGAACTTCTTTGCATGAAACGCGCACTGGCTTAGGTAAGCTTCTTTTTTCTATTTCTCAGCAGAATTCGCCGAAAAAACGGAAGGTGGGGTGTTTATAGACCGTGGATATCCATATGGACCATGGTCAAGGACACTGAATGACTACGAACTTCTCGTGAGTGGCAATGTAACAACCCTCTTAGGACGTTGTGTATCCGGCGACGTGTAATTTTTTTGAATAGTAGTATTCCCATACTCAGAAAGAAGATGGTTTTGTAATATTACAGGATTTCCCATAAATGTTGAACCAGGATTCTTAAGTTGTAACAATTCTCGAAATAAATTTTTCTTGAAGCGGTTGCCCAGAATCTTTGACTATAGACATATTTAAAGGAATGATATTAATCTGATGTATTTTTCTGGAGGAGATATTATGGCTCCCAATTGCTTCGAGCACAAGTTTACAGTGGGCCGCATCACATCATGAGGTGTACTCTTGTGACTTCGCGGATAAAAGGCTTTGGCTCATAATGTGGGTACAATGTTTGATGTAGCTAGCACAGCCCACATTAGATGGTCCAGCACATCGGAATCAAGGGATTGGGAAGACATTCTTCTGAGGGTGTAAAATCGGGTAAAGTGGCATAACACCGCTTCTAAACAATTTTAGCCTTCTTCACAGAAGCTACTTCCTATTGAGAGGAGTACCATTCCTCAAAGAAGTGGCTAGGTATCACAGTACTGATGATGCATCGGAACTACTGCTACATTCCTTTCTGGACAAGTAGCGGTGGGTTACCGGAAGTTGACACCTCTGCCCAAACCGAGATAAGAATTAGTTGCTGCTTGGAGTGAATATTTCTTCCACTTTCAAAGAGCTCTCCAAGACCTCATTCGAGTATCCTCCAAGTTTGACGAGGGAAGTTTCACTACATGCGGGGATTTTATCGTTGATGTGAATGGTGTCCGCGTAAGCGCCTTTGTCGGCTCTTGGCATCAGCTCTTCAAACATTTGTTCTGTTGTGCCCTTTCGGTTCGACTGAGTATGTAGTGGTGCTTGAGCATCTTGTAGTGGCTTGTATGCAGTCGCTATACGACCACGTTCTACATGAATGCGTTCCTACTCCAGTGTTCTCGTCGTCTTTCTCATGCCTACCCGGGTATTTTGGTTTATTCGCTCCTTCATGTCCTGAGATCCAACGAGGCAGATCTCACAGGGCAGCCACAACAAAGACTACTTTCATTGATCCTTTCTTCAGTGCAACGGGGAGGTCTTGGGACGGTTTAGATTTCGAAGAAGCGCGATATTCGTTACCAAATATCCAAACGTTTTTTGTAAGAAAGGAAATCCTCTATTGAGGTTGAGGTCCGCCATGAGACGTAGACCGGACGGCAAGGCGTGGAATTTGGCAAGGTTATCCAAAAGAGATTGTGGGGTGAATGGGATGGTCTGCCAGCCTCGAAAAGGCAGCTGGAGAGAAGCTGAAAACAAGACTCCCATAGAATTTGAGCTCAAAATGTGGTGAAAGATTCAAGGAACATCCTGTATATGCGTTCCCTTCTTCTCTTGCTACAATTCAACATTTTTCTTGAACAGGACATTTTAGTCATCAGATAGATATAAGGATTAGGTGGTCAACAAGACCTGATTATGTTTCCTCGTTTTATTAATATTAAGACATACCTTTGTAACGTAAATGAGATTGCGATGGAATATTGCTGATTTGTCCAGTGCTCGAAAAAATTTAATGAGCGCAGGAGTTGCAAAAATAATTGACAGGCACTCTATGGTATACGCTACTTTGAAGGGTAATGTAATTTCGAAGAAATATGCAGCTGGGAAAACAATGGGGAAGTCCAGTTTTCCTGAGGTTGAGTGGTTGAAGTTCATAATTACTCCAAGTGTGAATGGAGTCAATCCTGGAGATTTCCTGAATGAAATTTATTACCACGAATTTTAATTATATCAAAACGAATCGTAATGATGAAGTGAATAACCAATATCAAAGTGGGCACAGTTCTAGGCATCGCGCATGTGTGAACACAAAATCGAGACAAAGGAATGAAGAGATAATAATGGAATCTCTTCCAATTCTATTCTGGTGCGCATTATTGAGAGGAACTATTATTTCTCACACACATTGTTGAACAACAATTCAAATTGAGGAAGTATATCACAGCACTCCAATCAACAAAAGCATTTCTTTGTAGCTCTTGATCACTCAAAAAGGTCAGGTGGAGCTGTCGAAGAGCTATCAAGAACTCTCTCGCTCTGCTTCTTACAATGATGGAGGACTTCCGTTCGTATGTGGATGGGAATTGATGTTGTTGAAGCTTTTCATGTACGCTACTTACAACATAAAAATCACTTTATACAAGCAAACTTAGGCAGTTCATGTATACAGTATTGTGTACGATCGCTCACAAACAAATCGTGCAGGTAAAGCCGTCATTCAATAAATAGCGGAAATAAAATCCAGTGCAGTCATCACAGTCGCTTATCGTATTATGATAATAGTAAACGTGCAGGATCCGCTCGCAAGCAGAAACAATTGACCAAGCTTTAGAACTGCATAATATTTTGCAAATTTGCAAGCCGTCAGTGTGTTGTGAAGCACATGCTGTGCGCTCGAGGCGTCACACCGTAACCCACAATAATTGCTACGTAAACACAGGAGCAGAACCGAAATTGAAGTTTCAGATTCATTGCAAGGGAGATGTCTTCTTTCTACTGCAAATCAACAAGGAATGAGTAATCAGGAATGTTCAACCATCGGCATTAAAAAGTTGTGTTTAACACTAATTGCTGAAGTCCACTTATATACAAGGTTGATGCATTAGAATAGGTCTTCCTGAGCTCGACGGTGTTAACTGCATGTCATATTTTGAAGATAGTGAGGGCAGTCAAGGGGATATTCCGTGGTGCAACCTCTATCACAACGGTACACTGCGCATAGAAGAATTTAGTGATTTGCGCATGAGTGAAGTGATTCTTCCCTAACTTCCCCCCTGTTCTCATCATTGTATTCGGATCTTTTTACAACGATAGAGCACAGAGAAACATGAAACATCCATAAACAAGCAGTGCACTAGGTGCAGCACCTGGTACGCAATGGAAGAGCACAGCACCGGCAAGAAACTAAAAACTGAACCAGCCCCTTGTAGTCGTTTTCTTTGAGAACATCCGAATTTTGACTGGCAATCTCAGTCTGTATATGCTTTAACGTGATAACTTGCGTGTTCATGAAAATTGAGCCTTAGCACATTTAAACATGATGCGAAGTGGTCAGCAGAGATCGGAAGGTTGAAGGCGATCCTGAGAGTTTTGTACCACTTAACCGGTGTCTTTGTTTGTGAAACTACAGTATGCCCTAAGATTGCTCATCCTCGGAGAAATTCCGTGATTCCTCATATTCTTCCTCCCAATCTGCTTCGTTTAAGTGGTAAGAAATTGTACGCTTGGAAGCTGTTGACTGCATTTATCATTTTTACCATCACCTGAAGAAATTTTTGAGAGCAGCATTCTTCATTTGAATACGGATGCGAATGTATTGGTGGGAAGTGGGCCGGCAGTAAAGAAAAAAGGAAAAGAATCCGTCAAAAACGCTTAGGTTAAGGGCTCACTCACCTTCCTAATCGGCTGTGCTAAGGGAATGAGAGACTAAGCGCGGAGGGGCGAGAGAGCGCTACTGAAGTCGCCAGACAACGGCCTGATGTGGGAAAAAAGTTCGCAGCTTTGCTTTGGGCAGCTTACTTTCCAATTCTCAACCGCTCTTATTGTGGTTGTCCACTAGGGCTTATACTAAAGACCGGAGACAAGAATCTTATGATCTCTGCCTGGGTTGTGCCTTTAGTGATTTCCCGCACCCATCTGGTGATCGTAGTAGGTCTTCATTCTCTTACATGTTGAACTTGAAAGTGCTTTCTTTCTGAAAGCTTTGCAGTTTTTTATACGGCCCTTGAAGAAACTGAGCCATGAAGAAAACGTTCAGCTCTTAATGCAACTCTATGCAACGCGCTCGATTGCGTAACTTGAGCAGCTCTCGGCCATGACTTGAAAAACAGACGTTTCCCTTAGCAAACTAAATAATTGGCAGCAAAGAAATATTCCGAAAACAAAAGAGCGCATGGCTTCTGCATACAATATTCAGATGGAGCAGAATGGTATGTGCCCGTAATTTTTCACCACCCTGTAGACTCCGAAATTCGTTGTTCTCTCGGCTCGCTCTTCTCATCTTCATCTAGCGTCGGTTCGGGAACAGCTGTCCACAATAAGTTCAACGAGGAGGGCCGTATCTTGCACACATCACATCGATCTCGCAGGCAGTCATGATATTCACACAATTGGTGACAAAAGAAGTGCAGCAGCCACACAACGTCCTTACGACTCGTGCCAATTTGCAAATTTTACCTCACCGATTATTTATCAAGATGAGCGAAACTCTAATATTTGCCGTTTTCGTCCCACACGTGATAAAACTGCACAAACGTGACAACAAATGCCTAATCAACGAACGATCTTGAACGCCTCTCTCAGCGACCGTGCCTCCATCCCAAGTTTCGTTTATTCTACGAGTAGATGTGGCAGCATTCGATCTCGAACTCGACCAGTACTTGTTCATGTTCGCAAGCAATTTTCTGTTTCGCGTTTGATCTCCATAGTGAAGGGAATACGCTTGTTGTAAAAAAATGTACAACAAATTGTGCGCTTTCACGCTAAATCGTAACCCTCTTGAAGAATCAGCAAAAAATCGAAGGGCCGTGAGCCTGAAAAAAATACGTATTCATTTCGCTCTATAATTCTCAAAGCTGATTGATCTCTACCTATTATTTCATCGGTTTCCTAATCATGGAGGGGTTCAGAAGGATCATTGTGCTACCTCGATCATTGAATGACCAATGCATTGCATTTCACCTTGCATTACAGTTTGGTGCAGCAGATTTCAAGGTTGCAGTCTGAGGCGATCCCAAAAATCACCAAGCCACCACCAAGAAGATCGAGCGGTATCACTTTTGACCACTACTATGTTAAACTTTTTCAGTAGTTCCAGAAGCAGGTGTAATCATGGGGCAAGTTCTGATTTACTCATTTGTCTTCATTTATCTGCTCATTTGTCTAGTTGCGCATACATCGCATATGTTCGGCATGCACTCGAGTGAGTACAATCAAGAGCTTCAACAATCCTTGATGTTTTTGATTGGTTTCAGATGATGAAAAATTGCGCTCGTCAAAACGAAATAGGTAAATAGTGAAACGGGAAGCAATGTGCCGTTGGCAGTAGATTTCGAGGAAATTACAGAAAAGACTATTTGCAGCATAAATGCTTTCACGAAGGATGTGAATTCTTATATGTATATCGCAGATGATGCATGCAAACATTACAGTCCGAATACATCACCCAACAGACAATAAGGGAGTTAGAATCAGCTGACGTCAGTCCGTGAAACCGAATGAACTTTACCACAGTTGGTTTTTAACTAATCTGTTCTTCTCCTTTTATCACTTATCAATATTTTTCTTCTTATTGACTGTCTAACTTCGCCCTGAAACGCTAACGTGCAGTGAAAGAGAGGCCAGACACTATAGAAGAATTCACCTCTGTGACCTATACCATTTCTCACCTGCAACAGGTGTTTTCTAAGAATATACACAAGTACCTTCGCACTTCTAGGAACACACATACATACCTGCGTATATGTGTAGCAGCATATCCAGTCAATGATATTTTGAACTCTGCAAGTTCACAAGGCCACGTTCATTCTGTAGCAGCTAGAGGCTTCTTGCGTTCAATATGAGTGTGGATTAATCAGTAACTTTCACTAGTAACGCGTCGACGGATACTAACGAATCGTCGACTATCAAGATTTCTAGGAAACCCCATTTTCTGATGATCACTATGAGTAGTTGTGCCAAAAGGTAGACAGAATCTTGACAATATCTCATAAGGGGATGTCGTTCAGGGCGTGGAGCGCTTTCTCAAAACGGTTTTTTCTATGATATAGAGGGATGTGCCTGGAGTACAGAACTGTGGTCCATTTCCGCTAAATGGCCCTCTGAATGCCAAAAAAGGGGTGGGAAAGTGGTCCTTGGTTCGATTCCCCGCGGTGACAAAATTTTTGCACTGTGATTTGACGCCACAAAATTGGCACCGAAGAACGTCAACACCAGGAATTGATGTCATAATTATAATTAGGCTTACAAAAACCCTTACAAGTGGGCTTTATACCGAAAACTGGTGAGAGAAAGTTGTGACGCAAAAACTTCACCAACGTGCCGTCGAACAGCGTCATAGGGGTCCGAAATGATGTCGGAGCTGAAACGAATGTGATTCGTAATCAGGGCACCTGATAACCCTTGTAGTCGATGTTTTCAAGAAAATCAAGATTTTGGCCCGACTTCGAAAATTTGCTAGATGGATAAGTAAACTCTGTGGCACGTAAAGCTCGACGGTGAACTTCTTGGAAATGACATCATCTAGATAGTCCTCAAAAATGAGAAATGCTCCTGCCGAATAGACTATAGCAGACACCCAAGCTGATGTTGGTCGGAGGGTCACCCACAGTGCAGTAGTTTTCTGCCTGTTTTCCGATACGATTTTCTTCGGCATGTTGGTTACAGAGGTAAATCAGTGCTCTTGTCACGAATGTGGCATTGTTTTTTGGAGCCGCCGCTATCCGGCGCCATTTCGACGGTACAACTTTTTTTGCCTGCTTTCGGTGAAAACTTACCTAATCTGGGTTATTAATAGTTCTGGTCTTGAATAACACATCCATTTTGGCACCTGTGCTATTTGGAGAAAATCGTGAAGTGCCAACAAAAAATGCAAAAAGCCGACGCCTCGGGGATCCGAACCACCAACCCAGACCAAGCGTGCCAATGAAATCCACATC